TGGCTTGATAAGGAAGCAAAGCTGTAATTTTGAATTTACAAAATTAAGGAAATTCGTAAAGAATTTTGATATATTATTGATAATTGAATGAATTAATTAATCTTTGCGCTAATTATATTTATAATAAAGAAAACTTATCAGCAATAAGTAAATTAATACTAAAAATAAGTTTTAAAATAAAATTCCTCGAAAAATTCTGAAAAAATAAAATAAAACATCCTAAATATTAAAAACTAATAAATATAAAAAGTTAGAACAATTCGACTTCGTTTTAAGGACATCGAACCTTCAGCTCACCATTTTTTTCTTGACATTCAAAATTTCACACTCATTCAGAAAGTTACATCGGCAATTTTAATATTTAAATTCACTCACTCAAGACAACACTCGATATACAGAGCGCCAAAATGGTGAGCTGAATGTCTTAAATCAGCTAGAATCATCATCTTATATTTCATAATGCATGGAGAAAATGAAACATGAATGAAGCATTTAGGAATGGAATAGAATAGAGGTGAGAATGGAATGGAATAGTCATTCTTTTTATTTGAAGGTGGAATGATTTTAATGGAATGACCATTTTGTAAAACTCTAATTAATTTGTGTTAAACATTAATCACAAATTATCATAAATTCCTAAATCTTAGAACTTTAATTAATTTCGCATTCTTATAACGCATAAATACGTATAGTTAGATATACATACCTCGATTCATGATATCAAACCTTGTTGAGATTAAATCTAATGACCAGATCCTTTAACCACGAACCAATCTGCAACTCTAATCAACAGGCAAAGGCGAAAACTGGTTTCTCTCTCTTGCCCTTTTGCACACATAAAACTTTTACGTGTTGTATCCTTAATCGTACATAATTGATGGAGTATATGCACTTTTATAAAGGTAGAGAGAGAACCAGTTTTCCTTTTAATAACATAATTCTACTTTCCATCAAAGTAAGTAATAAAAAAGGAAAACACTTCTCAAATAAGTAATTACCAAAAAGGTAATTATAAGTTGACCAAAAAATAAATAATATTAATTGATATATATTTACGTAGCCACCAAGTAATATGTCACATGTCCAAATCATGTGGGCCACAATTAAATAAATAATCTTACATTCTCCCACTTGGTACATATGATAATTTCTGTAGTGGTTTAGTAAAATAGTCCTTAGTGTGCACCATAAATCAGATTAAGGTATTAAGTTGGTCATCATAAATATTATGGTAAACAAACTACCAATGTGAGTCATGACGATTGTATGTCACTAAATGACACAGTCTCTTCCATGTTCCACAACACTAGTAACCCATTTAACATAGTCTATAAGTGAGAAACATTAATAAAGGTCTAGCAATAATGTCTTTCTAAGACTATTCCTGTTTTCATCATTTAAAGTAATACATGCATATACATACATAAATTTACAAGAAATATCAGAAACACATTTTAATGAGCTCAAAATGTCAAATATATATAAACATTGTTAAACAATCCACAACAAAATAATAATTAACTTTGATCACATTCAAGACCCATTCTTTCAACATGCCCTATGAATGTCTTGGGTGGTAATCCTTTTGTTAATGAATCTGCAATCATAAGTTGTGTGTTTATATTTTCAAAAAACACTCGTTGTTTCTGAACTTCTTCTTTGACGGTAAGAGATTTCAGCTCCATACGCTTAACATCATTGGAATACTTATCGTTTTTAGTAAAGAACACAGCTGTGGTGTTATCACAATAAATTTTCAGCGGTCTGGAAATTGAATCCATAACGCCAAATCCCGAAATAAAGTTCCGCAACCACAAACCATGATTTATAGCCTCAAAGCATGCTACAAACTTAGCCTCCATAGTAGATGAAGCAATAATAGACTGTTTTGCGCTTTTCCATGATATTGCCTCTCCAGCTAAAAGGAACAAATAACCAAAAGTGGATCTTCTACTATCCACACATCTAGCAAAATCTGAGTCTGAGTAACCAATAACCTCTAAGTCACCAGTTCTTCTAAATGTGAGCATATAATTCTTTGTTCCTTGTAAGTATCTCATGACTTTCTTTGCAGCTTTCCAGTGATGCATTCCTGGATTACTTTGGTATCTACCTAGCATTCCAATTGCAAAACCAATATCTAGACGAGTGCAAACTTGTGCATATATCAAACTTCCCACAATAGATGCATAAGGAATATTTTGCATTTTTTATGTTCTAATTCATTCTTTGGGCATTGCATCAAACTAAATTTATCCCATTTCTGTATTGGAACAACACTAGCTGAACAATGTTCTATACCAAATCTTTCTAGAATTCTCTCAATATATGTTTTCTGATACAATCCTAACAATCCATGTGACCTGTCAAGAAATATTTCTATTCCTATTACGTAGGATGCCTAACCCATATCTTTTATCTCAAAATTCTTAGAGAGATAATTTTTAGTTTCATGCAATAAACCAAGATCACTACTAGCAAGCAAAATATCATCAACATATAGAATCAGAAATATAAACTTACTCCCACTAACCTTCTGGTATATAGACCGATCAACAGTATTTTCATTAAAATCAAAAGAAGTAATAGTATACCATTGTCGGGAAGCTTGTTTAAGTCCATATATTGACTTCTTAATTTTACAGACCATGCATTCTTTACCCTCTAATCTGAAGCCTTCAGGTTGATCCATATAGACTTCTTCTTCTAAACTCCCATTTAGGAAAGCTATTTTCACATCCATTTGATGCAACTCTAAATCATAATGAGTTACAAACGTCATGATAATTCTAAAGGAATCCTTCTTAGATACAGGAGAGAAGGTTTCTTTATAATCAATGCCTCATATCTAAGTGAACCCCTTGGCTACAAGTCTAGCTTTATATCGTTCATTATTGCCATTAGAGTCGCGTTTGGTCTTAAAGACCCATTTACACCCGACTTGTTTAAATCCTTCAAGCAATTCAACGAGTTCCCAAACTTTATTTTGTTCCATTGACTTCAACTCCTTATTCATGGCATTAATCTAATTAATAGAATTATTACTATTAATGGCTTGTGAATATGTAACCAGATCCTTAAATATCTCTATATCAAAATCAGATTCATGTAGATATACCACATAATCATTCGGAATAACATGTCTTTTTTCTCGTTGAGACCGTCTTAATGTTATTCCTTGTGGTTTTTCTATAACTTAATTGGTGATAGTTTCATTATGGAATTGTTGATCATTTAATTGTTCTTCGTTGTTATGCAGTTCAACAATTGGAGAAACAATTATTTCTTTAGAAGTTGTGGGTAAAGGGATTTGTACCCTAACTTCTTGAATGATCACATTCTCATTTCTATCACTCCCACTGATTTCACCATCCTCAATGAATCTGGCATTACCGGTTTCAACAATTCTTGTACTATGTGTAGGACAGTAAAACCTATACCTTTTGGATTTTTCTGGGTAACCAATAAAGTACCCACTAACTGTTCTAAAATCCAATTTATTTTCATATGGATTATAAATCCTAGCTTCCGCTGGGCAACCCCAAACATGCAGATGCCTTAAACTAGGTTTCTTTCATGTCCACAGTTCAAATGGAGTTTTTGGAACTGCCTTACTAGGAACCCTGTTTAATATATACATAGCACTTCTAAGAGCATACATCCACAATGATATGGATAACGAGGAATTACTTAACATACTCCTAACCATTTCCATAAGAGTACGATTATGCCTTTCAGCTACACTATTCTGTTGTGGCGTGCCTGGCATAGTGTATTAAGCACAAATGCCACGCTTTTCAAGGAATTTAGCAAACGGTCCAGGGCATTGACCCGTTTCATCATACTTTCCATAATATTCACCACCTTTATCTAACCTTACTATTTTTACTTTTTTATCTAGTTGCCTTTTAATCTCATTTATGTGTACTTCAAGAATATTCACTGCTTGAGATTTATCATGCAACAAATAGATATATCCATAACGTGAAAAATCATCTATAAAGGTGATAAAATATTTTTCTCCACCAAAAGATGGAACATCAAAAGGTCCACAAATGTCTGTATGAATAATTTCAAAAAGCTCTTTACTTCTTATGGCTTCTTTCTTTGTGTGTTTGGTTTATTTACCTTTAATACATTCCACACACACAACAAAATAAGTAAAATATAGATTCCAAAGAATTCCATCTTTTACAAATCTTTTTAATCTTTCACTAGATATATGACCCAATCTTTTATGCCACAAGAAAGATAAATTTTCATTAATTGAGCTACGTTTGGTTCCAACATTATGATGCAAGGTCAAAAGTGTTTCAGAAAATAAATCATCAAGCTTTATCTTGTATAAACCATCAACAAGAATACCAGAACCAACAAATTGGGATTTTTTAAATAAACTGAAACATCCATTACCAAATTTAAATGAAAAACCATCAACATCAAGTTTGGACATAGAAATCAAATTACAAAAAATTGAAGGAACATAAAGAGTTTTAAACAAATCTAAATCCACTATCTAAAACTAAACGAAATGTCCCAATGGCTTCAACTGGAATTTTCTTCCTACTCCTTGTGAATAAGAAATCATCATTTAGATTTGTGATTTGGGTTGAAAGGAATCCTTACATCGTATTGGAAATATGAGCATTAGAGCCTGAATCAACCTACCAAGTATTAGAAGAAACTTCAATTAAATTTGATTCAAAACATACAAAAGTCAAAGGCTTACCTTTCTTTTTGAACCATTCTTTACATTTCATGCAATCTTTCTGAAAGTGTCTAGATTTGTTACAAAAATGACACTTATCATTCTTGCGTTCCTTCTTTTGAGTAGCTTGATCAGAATCCTTTATTTGGGGTGTTGCACGCTTGATGCCTTTTCCAAGCCTTTTCCCAAATTTCTTTCTAGCTTCTTAAGTCATGAGATGAACATTATGATTATCTTGTTGCTTAAGCCTTCCTTCCTCCTAAACTAACATACTGGCCAATTCATTCACATTCTACTTGTCCTTAATAGTATTATAGTGAATTTGAAATGGCTCATACTGAGTAGGTAAGGAATTGAAAATAAATTGAACGAGAAAAGTGTCATCCACATTCATCCCTAAAGTTTTCAATTTCGCAACAAGATTAACCATGTTAAGAACATGCTCATGCATACTTCTAGTACCATCAAAACGCATAGTAGTAAGGTCAGCCATTAATTTCCCTACAAGAGACTTATCTGTAGTACAGAAACGTTCTTCAATATTTTTCAAATATTCCTTATCACTATTAGTTTGGGGAAGAGTTGTTTGGATATTGTTTGCAATAGTCATTCGCATAAACATAATACTCAATCTGTTCGATTTCTCCCAAACTTTATAGAGAGACTTTTCTTCCTCACTGCTTTCACCAGTAATAGCAGTAGGTTTCTCAATTTGAAATGCTAAATCAAGATCTAGCATACCTAAGTTGAACTGAACTTGCTCATTCCATTCTAAGAAGTTAGTCCCATTGAGAATTGGAACAGATGAAGCATACGAATTCACTGAAACAGGAAGAGAAACTGCAATAAAATAATCATAATAAGGTAAATGCTCATAACATTAATACTTTGAGATGACAACACATATAAAAATAAATAAATACATTGTACAACTATGGTACCCCTTTGGGTAGTAACCACAAAATAAAAAAATTGATGCTTAGATGTATTTATTTATATATAGCTTTATTGATGATGCACTAATTAATTAAATAGACAAGGTACCTTTGGATATCCTATATCTACCCAATTAAAAATTACATACAACCCCTTAATGTTTATTTAATCACTTGAAAATTAATTCCCTTTGAGGAATTATTTCTAATAATTAAATAAACCTAATAGTCATGAATTTTACAAAAAATTATAAGCATCATTATTCATGAAATATTACAATTATGTCTACCACTAAAATTAATATCCATTAATTATTATGGTTAGGCCACTTTGGTAGCTACCAACCTTTTTATAATATGAATATTTAATTATCTAGTGATAAATATAACATTAAATTACCTACCATATTATGCACATATAATTTACAAAATGAGGATGCAGTAAGTGGCATGGGCCGGTTATAGCTCGCTGGCATGGGATCGGGTCGAACAATTGAAGTGTGGCCCATGCAAAAGCACCACGGAATGGGCCGAGCTTGGAGGATCCACTGAGGAAGATCAAGCCCATTGGAAATTCAGGCCCAAAAGGAAGAAAACCCTTAAATAGAGGCCCAATGTAATCAGTTAGTGAGAATATTTGTAACGGTCTATAAATAGACCATTACGGGTGGATAAGAATGAAGGTTTTTGATTTTTTATTCTATTGAAGTGTAAGAATTCTAGAGAGAGAAAAAAGAATGAATTTCTTGCATCTTCAATTGGCGCCGCCTGTGGGAACGACGAAGAAGATCGATTCGAGCCTGATCAGTACCATGTTAGTTCAATCAAGTTTGTGAGCACACAGTTTGATTTCTGGAAGTTGAATCCAGATCAGTGAGATTATAGTTTGTTCAGAGAGAATTCTTGCTTATTGTGGATACTGAGGCATTTGCTTCGGAATGACACAACTGTGATTTGCTCAATTACAGTCAGATCCGGTGAGTTCAAAGCTAGAAAATTTCAGATCTAGCAAACGGCGACCATGATTCGGTGAAATTGAGCCCAGATCTAACGGAATTTGCATCAGTGACTCTTAGATTTGTTTCGGAGTTCGTAATTCATGCCTTTGCTTCGATCCGGAATCATGATAGGGGGTGAGAACTCCAATACGGTAGAGAACGTCCAGCAGGTGAAACTTGATGAGTTGATGAGCATGATCGAAGCTCTCCGGAGAGAAAATGCGGATCTAAGGACTGAAATGCAGCGTCAAAAAGCTCCAGTAATTCCGCGACCGCTCCCAGTAGGAGAAGAAGGTGCATGTACCGATGCGGCACATCATGGCGAGGAGGTCGGAAACAATCTAATAGATCCTCACCGCGAGGAAATCCGGCAAGACGGTTTGCCACCAAATCTTCGTCGTATTGATGATCGTGAAGGATCGACTCACATGGATCCACGGCATGAGCTGATCAGGTGAAACGAAGCAATGACTTTTGATCCACATCAAGAAACGCTCAGCCGAGGTGAAGCAATAGAGTTGGACCGTCACAAAGCTATGCCTCCATGGCACAGAGACTTTGTTGAGGACAGATCATTCGATTCGACTTATCGGCCTTCCATGACGACGTTCGACTATCACGGCTCAGAGAGGAGGTCTGTAAACCAGAGAGTAACCGCGGGGTTCCAGAGGGAAAATGAAACACTTCATTCAGCAGCTCGAACAATTGATTCACCGTTCACCGATGAGATTCTGAATGTTCCGAGTCCGAGGAAATTTTCCATGCCCGTTTTCATTCTGTTCGACGGAACGACCTATCCGATCGATCATGTGTATCACATCTAGTTGAAAATGGCTCTGAACACTGAGAATGACTATTTGATGTGCAAGTGCTTTCCTACGAGTCTAGCTGAACCAACTCTAAATTGGTTCAAGAACCTGCCGAGGGGCTCAGTGGATAGTTTCCGAAGCTTGTGTGATCGGTTCATAAGCCAATATTATGGAAATAAGCGTCCAGCGAAGGATATTTCAAGCCTATTCACAATGAAGCAGCATGCTGATGAGTGTCTCCAGGCTTTCCTAACCAGGTTTAACCTTACCAAGAGCATGGTGATTGAATGTCACCCTTCAACGGCAGTTCAAGCATTTATACTGGCTATGACCCGTGGCACCCCATTCCACATAAGCTTGGTGGTGAACATGCCGAAAACTATGGATGAACTTATGAAAGAGCCAATGGATTTGTACGCTTGGAAGAAGAAGAGGCGGCAAACGCTCGGAAGACATCCGTCATACCCACGGAAGAAAAGACCAAAGCAAAGATCAGGCAAAAGCAGGTTCAGCCACAGCACTCCTCGTGGAAATCTGAGAAGAGGCCCAGAGAGGAAGAGCTGGTTACTCTATTGAAAGTTACCTTAGCAAGACTGTACCAAGAAAATAAAGATAAGTTCCGACCTCCTTTACCAATCAGACAACCCCTCGAACAGAGGGATCAGTCTAAGCACTGTGCATTTTATTCTGACTTTGGCCATCAGACTAACGAATGCAGGAACCTAAGGAGATATGTAGAGATGCTGATTGCCAGAGGGGAGTTCGCAAGTTATATTCAAGGCCCAGCGGTGGAACAGAACCGACCAATGGAGCACGTGAAGAGGAATCAGAAGTCGAATTCTCACAACACGCAACCAGTTCGAATAATCAATGCAATTCACGGTCGGCCTGAGCCTGCTGAAGAGTTAGATGAACTGCTTCGAACACGCCTTCGCCAGGCACAGATGAAGAGAATGATAGGCAATGTAAACACTCTGCACCAACAGAGTGCATCAACGTAGATAAAGTTTAACGGAACAGATCTATTACGTGTTCAGATCCCTCATGAGGACCTGTTGGTCGTAAGTTTGACAGTGGCCAAATGCTTGGTGTGGAGAGTTCTGATTGATCCTGGAAGTAGTGCGAACATCATGCCAAGGGACACATTTGATCGGCTCGAGATCAAACGGGATCGGTTGAAATCCACCGGGAATCCTCTACTAGGGTTTGATGGAAAATGAGTGGAGCCCGTCGGTACAGTGGAGGTAGCGGTACATGCTGCAGAGAGGGTTCTGATGGAAGGTTGTTGAAATTCATCCCTCTTACAATCTTCTGATGGGCAGAGAATGGATCCACAGAGTTCAAGGTGTTCCTTCCACTCTGCATCAGGTAATGAAATGCTTGGGGCCAGACGAGACCAAAGTGATTGACATTCATGGGGACCAGGTTGCAGCTAAAGAATGTTATTCAGTAACGCTGAAACATGCCGGAAAGGGGAAAGCTCCCATTCGTTCAGCAAGTCTGAGATAGCAATTACAGGAGCCTCCTTCCAAGCAAAATGGGGAGGAGGAGCCAGTGGACTTGACTGAAGAACCCCTGGTTGATGTGCAGATCGATCAGTTTCGACCGGAACGAACAACCAGAGTGGAGAAACGACTCGCTGAGGAGGAGAAGCAGGAGTTAATTAATTTCTTGTCTCAAAACGCAGATGTGTTTGCATGGAGTCACCTAGACATGCCAAGGATCGATCCTTCTGTATTTTGTCACTCCTTAAACGTTAATCCCAATGCGAAACCTGTAAAGCAGAAGCAGCGACGGTTTGCTCCCGAGCACAACCGGATCATTGCCGAGGAGGTTAACAAGCTGCTTGATGTGAGGTTTGTAAGAGAAGTGTACTACCCTGACTGGTTATCAAATGTTGTCGTTGTGCAGAACAAAAATGGGAAATTGCGAGTGTGCATTGATTTCACCAATTTAAACAAAGCCTGTCCGAATGATAGCTTCCCGCTGCCAAAGATTGATCAAATGGTGGATGCAACTACTGGATATGAATGTTTGACCTTTTTAGATGTTTATTCAGGTTATAATCAAATCCCCATGGACCCTGTTAATGAAGAAAAAACTTCTTTTGTTACCGAGCGCGGGACGTATTGCTACAAAGTCATGCCATTCGGACTGAAGAACGCCGGAGCAACTTACCAAAGACTTATTAGCAAAAAATTTAAGGGACAAATAGGGAAGACAGTGGAAGCTTACATTGATGACATGGTAGTAAAAAGTAAGAAAAAAGTTGACCATGCGAAACATCTACGAGACGTATTTGATGTGTTGAGGCAATATGGAATGAAGCTCAATCCAACCAAGTGCTCATTCGATATAAGTTCTGGCCAATTCCTGGGGCACGTAGTTAATCTTAGAGGCATCGAGGCAAGCCCTGCCCAAGCAGAAGCTCTGACTAAGAATGCCGAGCCAACGACAGTCAAAAAAGTGCAAACACTTACGGGACGGATCGCTGCACTGAGCCGGTTCCTTTCCAAATTGTCAGATCACTGCAAACCATTTTTTGACACAATTTGAAGCCACGACAGGCAAGTTTGGGGGGATGAACAGCGCCTAGCGTTAACTGCTCTGAAAAAGTATATGAAGAACCTTCCGGTCCTGTCAGCTCCAGAACCGGGCGAAAAACTATTTTTATATCTCGGAGTATCCAGCATCGCGACAAGTGGTGTTTTGATCCGCTATGCAGAAGGGAAGCAATATCCAGTGTTCTACGTTAGTAAGACAATAACTGAGGCCAAATGACGTTATTCAAAGGCAGAGCGGGTGATACTCTCGTTAGTGCATGCAAAAAGAAAGCTCAGGCATTATTTTGAATCCCATCCTATCATCGTTCTAACCACTTTCCCTATCAGAATAATCCTGCACAAACCAGATCTCTTAGGAAGAATGACGAAGTGGGCCATAGAGTTAAGCTCATTTGATATCACAAACGAACCCAGAATAGCAGTCAAAGGGCAAGTGGTGGCAGATTTCTTACTAGAATGTGATTCAGAGGACATAGAGGAAGACCTTTGTGGTTGCTTATGGAAACTCATCGTCGATGGATCCTCAAATCAAATGGGTGCAGACATTGGGATCAAACTGCTGACGCTAGAAGGTACATCCTTAAGTCAAACGCTTCGGCTTGAATTCGGAGCCACGAAAAATGAGGTGGAGTATGAAGCATTGCTGGTAGGAATTAAGCTTGCCAAGGAGTTGAAGGTCAGGAATTTGACTGTTTTTAGTGACTCGCAGTTAATCGTTCGGCAGGTGAATGGCGAGTATGAAACCAAGGATGAAACGATGGAAGCATATCATTCTGCTGTTATGCGGGAGGCCAAAAACTTCGAAAAAATTGAATTCATTCAAATTCCAAGGGAGCATAATAAGGATGCCGATCGGCTAGCATGTAGTGCCTCGGGTTTGGGAGAAACATTGGCAAAGGTGATTCCAGTAGGAATATTAAACCAGCCATCCATTTTCGAAGAACCTTCGGGCTCAGATCCTTGGCAAGTGAATGTTATTCCATATGAGCCAAGCTGGATTGATCCGATCACAACTTATATCCGGGATGGTACTCTGCCTGAGCAAAGAGATGAGGCTAGGAAAATTAAATCGAATGCTGCGAAGTACGCCATAGTGCATAACCAGTTGTACATAAGATCTTGTTCCGAACCGTACTTAAAGTGCGTCACCCCCACAGAGGCTCGGTAGATACTACGAGCTATTCATGAAGGTGTATATGGACACCACTCAGGGGGGAGATCTTTAGCGCACAAAGCAATGACGCAAGGGTACTTCTGGCCAAACATGTCGCGAGATGCGGAAGAATTGTCCAGAAGGTGCGATAAGTGCCAAAGGTTCAGACCACTGATTCACCAACCACCTGAGGACTTGCACGTAATGGCCACACCATGGCCTTTCGCACAGTGGGGGATGGATGTGGTTGGTCCTCTACCAACTGCAAGAGCTCAGAATAAGTATGTGCTGCTGGCTACAGATTACTTTACTAAGTGGGTGGAAGCAGAGCCATACCCGAGCGTTACTCAAACTCATGTGAGACGATTCATTTGGAGTAATATTATTTGCCGGTTTGGTGTTCCGAGGTCAATCATCATGGATAATGGGACCAACCTTGACAGTAAGCAAGTAAGAGGGTTGTTGGAGGAATATGGAATTACTCAAAAGCTGGCGGCAGTAAGTCACCCCTAGGCCAATGGACAGGCGAAAATTACAAA